TTCTGAAATGTTCAAAAAATGCACAAACAAAAAAATGCATTTATGTATTTGAAATAGCACGCGGGCACACACACAAAAAGAAGTCAAGATCAGAAACCCGAAAAACACTCCGGCTAAAATACTACGTAAACAAAACTCGGCTTCTCACATTGCTGCTTGTTAAAGTGTGTTAAAATACATTTCATTAAGAATGTGCTCATGCATAAACCTCCTGCAAGGCTTGGGTCTCAGTTTCAGGTCAGTTTCTGATGTGTCCTGAATAATAATAATAATAATAATAATAATAATAATAATAGCTGTGGTTTAATGATCCTGACAGATGTAGAAATCGCTGTCGCCTCTTTTAGGACTCAGACTGGGCACAAAGAAGATGGGTTACCCCACATGAAAACATGCTATAGTCATTTATTGTAAATGGTATAGTGTTTTTCAACTATACTGTAGTATGATGCACCCTCAGAAATAAAGGAACAAAAGCTGTCACTGTGGTGGCACCCTTTCAAAAGGTACATTTCTGCACTTTTTAGGTACAATATGGACCATTTAGTTTCTAATTTGTTTCATTAATATGTACCCTTAGCACAATAAATGTACACATAACAAAAAAATAAGTCTCTGATGTCCCTAGAGAGTGTGTGTGTAGTTTCAGCTCAAATTACTACACAGATAATATTTTCTAACTCTCTGCAATTGACCCTTTTAGGATTTGATCCTAATTGTGGTGTTTTGATGACTGTCGCTTTAAATTTAAATGAGACTATACTTTTTTTCAGAAAAGGGCGGGGCTATAAATGCATGTGTGTCAGCATAGTGGCAGATTTAAAACTCTAATGGGGAGTGGCTGCTTCTCCCTTAGGGTTGTTTATGCTAATGAGGGAGAAATGGTCACTAGTGGGCGGGGCTTTTTTCCATCTGATGACTTGTACAAAGGGAGAATGTCAATCAAAGTGTTTCTGCAGACTGTTTTGATCATGTCTGATTATTTAAAATAGGATTAATTTATTTTGACCATTAGAGACTGGTTATATACACACATTGCTGACACACAACTGTGTTTAAACCCCTCAAAAAGTGATTTTCGCATAATAGGTTTCCTGCTAAAGTGTAATTTATTTCTGAGAAAGTGCTTATTCATTGTTATTGAATGCTCCGGCATATTGTATTAACTGTAGTCAACTGATAAACACAGCAATACTGAAGTTAGTTTTTACTACAGTAATCTGTGGTGTATTGTTGTAAAGTTTAAACTATAGTTTGTGAAAACTACAGTATTGGGTCATTTGTTTATATTACTAAGTGTTGTGTTTACATAACCGCTATATAATTGCCACAAAATATCAATTAGGGTAGTTGTTGTGTTACCATAGCAACTATAGAATCACCACAACAGATCAATAAATATAATTGTTGTGTTGTCATAGCAACTATAGAATCATGACAGCATATCAAAATACAAGTTGCTGTTACCATAGCAACTGTAGAATCACCACAACAGATCAATTACTATAGTTGTTGCGTTCCCATAGCAACTGTAGAATTGCCACAACATATCAATTACGATAGTTGTGTTACCATAGCAACTGTAGAATGGCCACAACATATCAACTACGATAGTTGTTTTGTTACCATAGCAACTGTAGAATCACCACAACATATCAATTATGATAGTTGTGTTACTATAGCAACTGTAGAATTGCCACAACATATCAACTCTTATAGTTGTTGTGTTACCGTAGCAGCTGTAGAATCACCACAACAGATCAATTACTATTGTTGTGTTACCATAGCAACTATAGAATCACCCTAACAGATCAATTACTGTAGTTGTTGTGTTACCATAGCAACTATAGAATCGCCACAACAGATCAATTACTGTAGTAGTTGTTTTACCATAGCAACTACAGAATGACCACAACATATCAATTACTATAGTTGTGTTACCATAGCAATTATAGAATTCCTGCAGCAGATCAATTACTATAGGTGTTGTATTACCATAGCAACTGTAGAATCAACACAAAAGATCAATTACGATAGTTGTTGTGTTACCATAGAAACTAAAGAATCACCACAACAGACCAATTACTGTAGTTGTTGTTACCATAGCAACTGTAGAATTGCCATAACAGGTCTATTACTATAGTAGTTGTGTTACCATAGCAACTATAGAATTGCCACAGCAGATCAATTACTATAGATGTTGTGTTACCATAGCAACTATAAAATCAACACAACAGATCAATTACTTAAAATGTTGTGTTACCATAGCAACTGTAGAATCACCACCACAGATGAATTTAAAACAGATTACACAAAACAATTACACTCTAAAATTCCTGGCTTATTTCAACCCAATTCTGGGTGTAATACGAACCAAACCAACTGCTGGCTAAATTTTTGGGAATTAAAATTTAACCCGATATTTGGGTTAGTCCATATTTTACCCAATTTGGGTTTTAATAACTCAGCATTTCTTACAGTGTAATTGTTCAAAAACACTCCAGTATTTACTGTAAATGACTATAGTATTTTTTCTTATGGCATGTTTAAAGTGACACATGACAAGCACCTGTCAATCATCTCTGATTCATTTGCTTCATCATATTTATCTATCTGTCTGAAATGGTAAATAAAGTGATTCGAACTTCACCCCAAAATAAAGAACAAAAGATTACATCTTGCATAAAGAAATTAGGATTTAAAAAATATTGCAGTAATCACAATGAGTTATTACAATTTTCAAGCATATATTTTTAAATGTTAACCTGTTTTAATCGTCAACCATGGAAGAATTTGTTATGCTAAATTTAAATGATGAAAAAAATGTATAATTTAAACAAAATAATACTTTGACAGGAGAAAAAACAGGCGTTCTTTACGCAAAAAAACAATGTCTTTTAATTTTGGGGCTCATTAAAGACCTGCATGTTGCCTTTTCTTCATTATAGTAAAACATAACAGCTTTCACTACATTTCTAGTCCAACATTTCACAATAATGGAAGATCTGAAATACAAACCAAACAATCAGCAAACACTCAACATGATGAAGAAGAAGATGAGGAGCACAGGAATTGATGATTGTGCCGTTAAAAGGCTCGAAGAGCGTCTTATTTTACAAATTAAGGTTGACGTTCTTTCATTTTGGGCATTTTGGACATTCAGTATTTCATTAAAGCATTACGTTCCCAAAAAATCTAAAGCCAAACAAAAATCATGAGATATTAAAACCGAAAACTACCCAAAAACAAAAGATCAAGAGCAGAATGAGGCGTTAATTTCGCCTGTCTGCGTGAAATAACCTTCAGTCGAGATGAAAAACATTAGGTATGATAATTAGAGCTAAAAACAGGTAAAAATCAAACGAAACTGTTTCTGTCCTTTCCATCTGTCTCACTTCCTCTGACCTGGAAACACAGGAACAGATGTCAAAGGGTCATAGGCCACGCCTCCTGCACGTTAGCTCCGCCTCCTGTGGTTTAATCCCGCCCCCTGTGCCCAGATCCATGTCTTCGATGTCTCCGGTGTTCGCGCCGAGATCTGTGGTGTTGCCGACGGTAGCGGTGAGCTCGCCGTGCTGGAGGAGAGACAACAGTCACATGACCACACTTGATTTGCATAAGCATCCATGCATAATTTTTTGTGATAGTAAATCAAACCTTTGGCCAATAATACAGTTATCCTTTCGCACATATAAGAGCAATGAAGCAGCAGAGATTTGATATACAGTAGCTATACATCACTCAATGCGAGTTACTGTATATATTATGCAAATTAGGTTAATATATTAAACATTATATAGACTAGAGCAGGGCTGACCAACCCTGGACTAGAGAGCTATGCAATTATACATGTTACATTTTTAATCAGGTTAATAATTAATCAAACTGTTGACATGTACTATATAGTAAATATTAACCTATGTGTTGCATATACACAGACACACCACTTCATATAAAGCTTTACTTATCTGTTATACACTAAAAAGTGGGATTTAATATACACTCGCCGGCCACTTTATTAGGTACACCTTACTAGTACCGGCTTGGACCCCCTTTTGCCTTCAGAGCTGCTTTAATACTTCGTGGCATAGATTCAACAAGGTACTGGAAATATTCCTCAAAGACTTTTGTCCATATTGACATGATAGCAAATTCTGACCCGACCATCCGAATGTGTCAGCAGAAATGGAGACTCATCAGAGCAGGCAACGTTTCTCCAATCTTCTATTGTCCAGTTTTGGTGAGCCTGTGTGAATTGTAGCCTCAGTTTCCTGTTCTTAGCTGACAGGAGCGGCACCCGGTGTGGTCTTCTGCTGCTGTAGCCCATCTGCCTCAAGGTTGGACGTGTTGTGTGTTCAGAGATGCTCTTCTGCAGAGCTCGATTGTAGCGAGTGTTTATTTGAGTTACTGTTGTCTTTCTATCAGCTGGAACCAGTCTGGTCATTCTCCTCTGATGCTCCTCTGGCATCAACAATGCAATAGCGCCCACAGAACTGCCACTCACTGGATATTTTCTCTTTTTCAGATCATTCTCTGATAATTGTGCGTGAAAATGCCAGTAGAACAGCAGTTTCTGAAATACTCAGACCAGCCCGTCTGGCACCGACAACCATACCACGCTCAAAGTCACTTAAATCAGGAATTCTCAACCAGTGGGCCTCAGCGATCCTGCAGGTGGGCTGCGAGATAGCTTAAAATTAACTCTCAATATTAAACTTTAATTTTCATCATTAATAATAAATTGATCAAAGTAGTGGTCTATCTCCTGTTCTCTGATTGATTAGTTCAAACGGAAAATCAGCCTCAGTTCATTTTTTGTTAATAATAATTTTAAAACGTATTACTGTTTATTTACAATGAAACAGCTCCAAATGAACATACTTAGTAATTTAGGGAATTTTTTTGGGGGTGGGGGGTTTCCCTTATTAAGGTGGGCTTATCCTTTATTTTCACATCCCAATGTTGCTGCGATAAGTGCATATCCAACTTTATACATAAGAGTTGGAGAAGAATATTTTCTATATTATGTGATGGAAAAAAAAAAACAAGGCAGACACGATTTAGATAAAGTTGGAAATATGTACAATTTTATGTACAGATATTTGTGATATCTAACATGACCTATGAATCACACAGCTAAGATCTGCTATATTACTGTAAGTATATACTGTATTTATGCAGGTAAAGTTGAATACTACATATCAAACTTTCAGTATATCGTTGGGTGACAATATAGTTTAATTTAAAACAGTGTAACAATATTATAGTACTTCAGTATTCCACAATAGTATTTATTTAACCCTCATCCATTCTGTTTTGTTCTCCAAACTATCTCTTGTGTGTGAATATGATTATTAAACACACTTTAATAACTGTGTTTCAGTACATTTCGATACTTTCTTTTCTTACTAATTAGTTTTTTATTTATTCATTTTCTTGTCGGTTTACTCCCTTTATTAATCCAGGGTCGCCACAGCGGAATGAACCACCAACTTATCCAGCACATTTTTACATCCACACATTCATTCACACTCATACACTATGGACAATTTAGCCTACCCAATTCACCTGTACTGCATGTGTTTGGACTGTGGGGGAAATCGGAGCACCCGGAGGAAACCAGCGCAAACGCAGGGAGAACATGCAAACTCCATACAAAAATGCCAACTGACCCAGCCGAGGCTCGAACCAGCGACCTTCTTGCTGTGGGGCGACAGCACTACCTACTGCGCCACTGCGTCACCCTAATTAGTTTTTATTATTGCTATTTTAATGGATTTAGCTCTAAATATTTTACTCTTTCACTTAATTTTGATAAATAAATAAAAAATCTAAACAATTTTTACGATACTTTTAAAAATGATATACATCTCAAAATGTTTTAAAATAAAAAATAAGCATGCATGTTGATTTTTTTTCAACCAAAACCCTGATATAAATACCAAAAATAAATTAGCATATATTTTTTTTTACAAAAAAAATAGAAAATATATTTTAAAAATTATTCAAATTCAATTAAATGCATTTATTTATGTGATTATGTGTTATATTTTTTATTACTGTATTATGCACTGGATCAAAGTGCATAGTGTCTTTGTTGCCTTCTTATAATAATAATAATAATTATATATATATATATATATATATATATATAAAATGAACAAGCATTGCCACTAGAGGGACCTACAAAACCCATTAAAGAATCTAAACCTAGAAAGAACAAATGAACTGAAATTTAAAGGGGCAGTTCACCCAAAAATCATATTTGTGTCATCATTTCCTCACCCTCCACTTGTTCCAAACCGGTCTGACTTTATTTTATCTGTTGAACACAACTTAATACATTAATAAATTGTTATATTTTGTAAATAAACAAATATTTTTATTTATAATAAACATAATAATTTATAGGGGGGGGGGGGGGGTTGCCTCAGTACAGCTTTATGTCTAGTAATGTCCCTGGGTTTGGGTTAACTTTAACGGTATGGGTATATGACGATCATATAATTGATGACTTTGCAGCAAAAAAGGCAAGAAAAATCCAGATCGAGGGGTCCAGGGTGCCATTTAAACTAGAACCACCACTGTAAAGGATAGATTTGAACCTTAAACCCACTAAAATACACTCAAGTAACTTATTTATGTGTGTATACCAATTTGAACCACTTTGATCAACACTTTTTTTCCATGTCAAAGTGACCTGAGGAGAATGTTTTCATACTGATCATAAAGCAGCGGATGTGACTGTAGACTCACATTTGGTGCAGATGATCTTGGGTCTCTCCCAGGTCCCGTTGGGCCGGCATCGGACGGTGGGCACGTGTCTCTGGAAGAAGCCGTCAGCGCACTGGTATCGCACTACAGCGTGGATGTCATAGTGCGAGCGTCTGCGGCCCACTAGATAGGCGTTATCTATAGCTGGAGGAGTGCCACACATCACTGCGCACGCACACGAGCACACACACACACACACACACACACACACACACACACACACACACACACACACACACACACACACACACACACAGATTCGATCATGAGCTCATCTAATCAAACCGACCCTTAACATTCAATATTTTCATTTTAATCTTGTGTGTCAGCATCTTCAGTTGGTTATTGATAGGGTATGTTACATCTTTTCATTTTAACTTTTCATTACTAGTTTCAAGGTAAACCTTGGTAAATTGTCTGATGGTTAGTGTTAACTTTTTTATAATTTGTGTTAAAGTTCATTATCATTAAAACCATGATTGATTAATGCAATTTTGAAAACTCACGCTAAGTCCTGTAACAAGAGCTAATCGTGAACGGCTGCAATGAACATACATTTATATATATTTTTACAACAGTTCTGTCTGGTTCTTGAATCTGATTGGCTTACATATACATATATATACATATATATATACATATATTTATATATATATATCCATATATATACATACATAAGCCAATCAGATTCAAGAACCAGACAAAACTGTTGTATAAATATATATAAATGTATGTTCATTGCAGCCATATATATTTATATATATATATATATATATATATATATATATTTACATATACACACACACACACACACACACCCACACACACACACACACACACACATATATATATATGTATATATATATTTATTTATTCAGCATTTCCTAAACACATCATACTCATGACCTTAAATAGGAAAAAGTCACCAAATTAAAGTAAAAAAAGTGTTTCTAGCAGATTGACCCAGAGCCTGATCATCACGGATGAACCTTCATTTGTAGCGCACTGATCTGAATACTCAACATTACAGGAAGCCAAATGTGTTTTTTTTTTACGTTAACCTTTTCAGTGAAATGGAGTTTTGGCACCGGCGCTGCCTCTTCAGACAATGATCCTGATTTCCATAGGCTCGAAGCCACAGTCTCAGCCGTAAATCTGCTCTCTGGCGTCACTGACACAACACCACAGAGATCCTGGATGTGCCACAAAAGACGGCCATCGTGGGAATTGAGCTTAAATCCACAATATCAATGGGGTTGGAAAACTGAGAGCTCCTTGTGCTGGAATCACAGCACTGAAAGCACCGAGAAGCTGATCTCCAGACTCACACCAGAAGCCCAGCACACGGAGAGACTGCAATAGTGAAACTGACGCTCACTGGACACATCCATAGACATTGTTAAAAATGCTGGGTAAAACACAACGCCTTCATGTAGTTCCAACATAAATTAAGCTAACTTAATCATTTTTTTCAATTCAATTCAATTCAATTCAATTCAGCTTTATTTGTATAGCGCTTTTACATTGTAGATTGTGTCAAAGCAGCTTCACATAAATGGTCATAGTAACTGGATCAGGGTAGTTCAGTTTTTTAGTGTTTAAGTTTAGTTTAGCTCAGTTAAGTGTGGTTTGAAGTCATTGAGAGTCCAAACACTGAAGAGCAAATTTATTGATGAGTAGCTCTACAGATCTTGAACCATGCAAGCCAGTGGCGACAGCGGAGAGGGAAAAAAAACTTCACCAATAGGAGAGTGAAGAAAAAAACCTTGAGAGAACCAGACTCAGTTAGGCACGACCAATTTATTTTCTCCGCTGGCCAAAAGTCTTGTGTAGAGCTGCAGGTTTTACAAATTTAAGTTAATCAAACATAAAACATTTAAGTTGTCTGCCAAAAAGTATTGTGTTCTTTTAACTCATTTAAATAAGTAGTTTGGACAAGAAGCAAAAGTCATTTTTTGAGTGCACACAAACGCACTTTTCCATTCTGAGAACAAGAACAAAAAGAAGGCAGGGCTGACGCGTCCATAGAGGCGACCTAGGGTGGCAGAATAGAGAGGACGGTCCCCGACAATACCCTCACCTCTCACGCCCTCAGTTATATCCGTGTCTAGGGCAGCAGAATAGAGAGGGCGGCATACCCGACACTACCCTCACCTCTCACACCCTCAGTTATATCCGTGTCTAGGGCAGCAGAATAGAGAGGGCGGCGTACCCGACACTACCCTCACCAACCACACCCTCAGTTATATCCGTGTCTAGAGCGGCAGAATAGACAGGACGGCGTCCCCAACACTATCCTCACCTCTCACACCCTCAGTTATATCCGTGTCTAGGGCGGCAGAATAGAGAGGGCGGCGTACCCGACACTACCCTCACCTCTCACACCCTCAGTTATATCCTTGTCTAGGGCGGCAGAATAGAGAGGGCGGCGTACCCGACAATACCCTCACCTCTCACACCCTCAGTTATATCCACGTCTAGGGCAGCGTGCACGACAGTACCCACACCACCCGCGCCCTTATTATTATGTCTAGGGCGGCAGAATAGAGAGGGTGGCGTGCGCAACACTACCCTCACCTCTCACACCCTCAGTTATATCCGTGTCTAGGGCGGCAGAATAGAGAGGGCAGCGTCCCCGACACTACCCTCACCTCTCATGCCCTCAGTTATATCCGCGTCTAGGGCGGCATGCGCGACAGAACCCTCACCACCCGCGCCCTTATTATCACGTCTAGGGCGGCAGAATAGAGAGGGTGGTGTGCGCAACACTACCCTCACCTCTCACACCCTCAGTTATATCCGTGTCTAGGGCGGCAGAATAGACAGGACGGCGTCCCCAACACTACCCTCACTTCTCACACCCTCAGTTATATCTGCGTCTAGGGCGGCGTGCGCGACACTACCCTCACCACCTGCGCCCTTATTATCACATCTAGGGCGGCAGAATAGAGAGGGCGAGATCCGCGACACTACCCTCACCTCTCACACCCTCAGTTATATCCGTGTCTAGGGTGGCAGAATAGAGAGGGCAGCGTCCCCGACACTACCCTCACCTCTCACACCCTCAGTTATATCTGCGTCTAGGGCAGCGTGCGCGACACTACCCTCACCACCTGCGCCCTGATTATCACATCTAGAGTGGCAGAATAGAGAGGGCGGCGTACCCGACACTACCCTCACCTCTCACACCCTCAGTTATATCAGTGTCTAGGTCGGCAGAATAGAGAGGGTGGCGTACCCGACACTACCCTCACCTCTCACGCCCTCAGTTATATCTGCGTCTAGGGCGGCATGCGCGACAGAACCCTCACCACCCGCGCCCTTATTATCACGTCTAGGGCGGCAGAATAGAGAGGGTGGTGTGCACAACACTACCCTCACCTCTCACACCCTCAGTTATATCCGTGTCTAGGGCGGCAGAATAGACAGGCTAGCGTCCCCTACACTACCCTCACCTCTCACACCCTCAGTTATATCCGCGTCTAGGGTGGCAGAATAGAGAGGGCAGCGTCCCCGACACTACCCTCACCTCTCACACCCTCAGTTATATCTGCGTCTAGGGCAGTGTGCGCGACACTACCCTCACCACCTGCGCCCTGATTATCACATCTAGGGCGGCAGAATAGATAGGGCGAGATCCGCGACACTACCCTCCCCACCCGCACCCTCAGCTATATCCGTGTCTAGGGTGGCAGAATAGAGAGGGCAGCATCCCCGACACTACCCTCACCTCTCACACCCTCAGTTATATCTGCGTCTAGGGCAGCGTGCGCAACACTACCCTCACCACCTGCGCCCTGATTATCACATCTAGGGTGGCAGAATAGAGAGGGCGGCATACCCGACACTACCCTCACCTCTCACACCCTCAGTTATATCCGCGTCTAGGGCGGAAGAATAGAGAGGGCGGCGTACCCGACACTACCCTCACCTCTCACACCCTTAGTTATATCCGCGTCTAGGGCAGCATGCGCTACAGAACCCTCACCACCCGCGCCCTTATTATCACGTCTAGGTCGGCAGAATAGAGAGGGTGGTGTGCGCAACACTACCCTCACCTCTCACATCCTCAGTTATATCCGTGTCTAGGGCGGCAGAATAGACAGGACGGCGTCCCCAACACTACCCTCGCCTCTCACACCCTCAGTTATATCCGCGTCTAGGGTGGCGTGCGCGACACTACCCTCACCACCTGCGCCCTGATTATCACATCTAGGGTGGCAGAATAGAGAGGGCGGCATACCCGACACTACCCTCACCTCTCACACCCTCAGTTATATCCGCGTCTAGGGCGGAAGAATAGAGAGGGCGGCGTACCCGACACTACCCTCACCTCTCACACCCTTAGTTATATCCGCGTCTAGGGCGGCATGCGCTACAGAACCCTCACCACCCGCGCCCTTATTATCACGTCTAGGTCGGCAGAATAGAGAGGGTGGTGTGCGCAACACTACCCTCACCTCTCACATCCTCAGTTATATCCGTGTCTAGGGCGGCAGAATAGACAGGACGGCGTCCCCAACACTACCCTCGCCTCTCACACCCTCAGTTATATCCGCGTCTAGGGTGGCGTGCGCGACACTACCCTCACCACCTGCGCCCTGATTATCACATCTAGGGTGGCAGAATAGAGAGGGCGGCATACCCGACACTACCCTCACCTCTCACACCCTCAGTTATATCCGTGTCTAGGGCGGCAGAATAGAGAGGGCGGCGTACCCGACACTACACTCACCTCTCTCACCCTCAGTTATATCCACGTCTAGGGCAGCGTGCGCGACAGTACCCACACCACCCGCGCCCTTATTATCACGTCTAGGGCGGCAGAATAGAGAGGATGGTGTGCACAACACTACCCTCACCTCTCACACCCTCAGTTATATCCGCGTCTAGGGTGGCAGAATAGAGAGGGCAGCGTCCCCGACACTACCCTCACCTCTCACACCCTCAGTTATATCTGCGTCTAGGGCGGCATGCGCGACAGAACCCTCACCACCTGCGCCCTGATTATCACATCTAGGGCAGCAGAATAGAGAGGGCGAGATCCGCGACACTACCCTCCCCACCCGCACCCTCAGTTATATCCGTGTCTAGGGTGGCAGAATAGAGAGGGCAGTGTCCCCGACACTACCCTCACCTCTCACACCCTCAGTTATATCTGCGTCAAGGGCAGCGTGCGCGACACTACCCTCACTACCTGCGCCCTGATTATCACATCTAGGGTGGCAGAATAGAGAGGGCGGCATACCCGACACTACACTCACCTCTCACACCCTCAGTAATATCCGTGTCTAGGGCGGCAGAATAGAGAGGGCGGCGTACCCGACACTACCCTCACCTCTCACACCCTCAGTTATATCCACGTCTAGGGCAACGTGCGCGACAGTACCCACACCACCCGCGCCCTTATTATCACGTCTAGGGCAGCAGAATAGAGAGGGTGGTGTGCGCAACACTACCCTCACCTCTCACACCCTCAGTTATATCCGTGTCTAGGGCGGCAGAATAGACAGGACGGCGTCCCCAACACTACCCTCACCTCTCACACCCTCAGTTATATCCGCATCTAGGGCGGCGTGCGCAACACTACCCTCACCACCAGCGCCCTTATTATCACATCTAGGGCGGCAGAATAGAGAGGGCGAGATCCCCGACACTACCCTCACCTCTCACACCCTCAGTTATATCCGTGTCTAGGGTGGCAGAATAGAGAGGGCAGCGTCCCCGACACTACCCTCACCTCTCACACCCTCAGTTATATCCGTGTCTAGGGTGGCAGAATAGAGAGGGCAGCGTCCCCGACACTACCCTCACCTCTCACACCCTCAGTTATATCTGCGTCTAGGGCAGCGTGCGCGACACTACCCTCACCACCTGCGCCCTGATTATCACATCTAGGGTGGCAGAATAGAGAGGGCGGCATACCCGACACTACCCTCACCTCTCACACCCTCAGTTATATCCGCGTCTATGGCAGCGTGCGTGACACTACCCTCACCACCCGCGCCCTTATTACCACCCTTTAAGTACCAATGTGTACCTTTTGAATAGGTACCACTGGAGTATCACCAGCGATATTTTACATGTCAAAATTGGAGCCCTTTATGTTTGAATAGTCCAATTAAATCTCACCTGTTCCCTTCTTGCAGACGTAAGGGAGATTGTAGTTGCAGGGCACATCGTTCCACTTTCCGTCCTCTCTAGTGATCATCACCACACAATCCTCTCCACCAGCGAAGAAATTATCCGGCTGATTCTCACGCCAGTTCTCATACACCTACGAAAGAAAGTAGAAACACAGTAAACACAAACAAACCTGTGAATTAAAGTGGCATTTGCCTGAATCAATCAATAAAACAGACAACAATAGCATGTCAACAATTAAATCTGATTATTACATCAGATACAGAACTGCATATGCACAGTGTTATGATGCATTTGTTTTCATGTTTTCCTTTAGCAGACATTGGGCCTGTTTCAGTAAGGAGGTTCAACCAACTCTGAGTTTAAACTGGAACTCTGAATTGACCTACCGAGAGATTAAAAACCTTTCGGTTTCAGAATTGCTGATCTGAGTTAGGTCAATCAGCTCTGAGTAGACCAACGTAGTTGGTTGGAGTTAAGCACGCACATCGCAACTATAAAAAGGCATTATCAATGGAGTGCAGATATTACGAGTGACCATGACAACTAGGGTTGGGCGATGTCGACCAATTTGGCATCGTATGATCTCTAATGTGAAACATCGCGATGGACGATGGCATCATCACCAATTGAAGGGGGAGGGGGGGTGGGTGATATAGTGCATGTGACATGTCTGAAGAGCGAAGAGGGAACCGGGGGTGAGAAGGGTGCGATTTCCGGAAATTATCAGTCGTTTGCGGGCATTATGAGTCCCGCAAATGCAAAGAAACTCCCGGAACTTCCAGGAGACTTGGGATGTCTAAGGCTGTACTCACACTGTGTACAGTTGCCTCGAATCCGGGCCAAAGCACGCTTGTACCCCCTCCCGTCTAGCTGGCAGCTAGCTCTCTGCAACTCTCACATGGTCGCCCACTGAAGCTAAGCAGGGCTGCGCCCGGTCAGTACCTGGATGGGAGACATGGGAAAGCTAGGTTGCTGCCGGAAGTGGTGTTAGTGAGGCCAGCAGGGGGTGCTCAACCTGCGGTCTGTGTGGGTCCTAACGCCCCAGTACAGTGACGGGGACTCTGTACTGCTCAGTGAGAGTTGTCTTTTGGATGAGACGTTAAACGTCATCAAAAATCCCAGGATGTCCTTCGAAAAAGAGTAGGGGTTTAACCCCGGCATCCTGGTCAAATCTGCCCACTGGCCTCTGTCCATCATGGCCTCCTAACCCTCCCCATATCATAATTGGCTTCATCACTCTGTCTCCTCTCCACCAATCAGCTGGTGTGTGGTGTGCGGTCTGGTGCAAAATGGCTGCCGTCATCCAGGTGGATGCTGTACACTTGTGGTGGATGAGGAGACCCCCCCCCCCATTGTGTAAAACGCTTTGAGTGCCCAGAAAAGCGCTATATAAGTGTAAGGAATTATTATTATTATTACTTTATTTATACGTGTTTTCAAAAGTTATGTGCATCATGACGTTTCCATCAATCGTTGTTTTATGCACATCTCCAAAATGCGCAATAAAATAGGTGGATAGAAATGTAGGCGAGAAATACCCTTTCATCTTTAAAAAAAGGGGAGGAGACCCACAGAAACTCAGAGTTTGTAGAATGAAACCTGCTCCTGACCAGGTTAGGTTCACAGAGTAAGTTACCATGGTAACTGACTCTGGGCCATATCATACACCCAGCGCAATGTGGCGTAAGGTGCTACGCAATAGTTGTTTGCTAGTTTCAGCTCGGCGCAAGAGTCGTTTTGCCATTTTGCGCCACGCTGTTTAAATAGCAAATTCATTTGCGCCCATATGTGCGCTTATAGGCGTTCTGGTCTAAAAAAGCAGGCGTGTTTTGGCGCGTTGCTTTTTTGAGAAACTATAATAGTCTGTTCTTTAGACCAGAATAAAGTTGATCTATTGTCTGGCGCAGAGTGCACCTCGCTTACACACTGCTTAATACACACAAGATGTAGAGCAATACACAAATACCTTAACATATGAAAAAGAATTAAAATATTAAGGATATATATATATATATATATATATATATATATATATATATATATATATATATATATATATATATATATATATATGATATAATAAGGATATATATAGGACAATAAATATAAAGGATTAAAATATTACAAAACATATTATTTTCTAGCCTATATAAATTAAAAAACCACTGCCCTAATGTTTTCTTCATCTCAGGAGGCTTTTTTAGTTTATTTAATTTGCTTTTGTACAATGTTATCATTATTAGCAGCATTATTTATAATATGCATATTTATATTTGTTTTATGAAAAACAAGCTTAGATTCGTCCACCTGTCTAAGCTTCTTTTGCCCACCTGTCCATATGGGGCATGAGAGGTGTTTTAGGATATAACTCAGGTTTTTGATCACACTTCGTTATTATTGTTTATTTATTCGTTTGCTGGAAATTAGAACTGAATTTAGAAATAGTTTTGAAACAAATCTTTGCACTTAACACACGAAATTAATTATTTATAGGCTAATTGATGTTTGTGCGTAAAGGTTTCCCTATTTAAAGAGCGAAAGTGAAACTAGATTATGAGATGCCTTATCTCTTATTCTCGCGCTGTAGATGCTCTGTTTAACTGTTTTCTTGCTAGTGAAATGCTCAGTTTTTCCACTTACACTTACTTTAAGTCATGTAAATAGTGAATGCGCTTATGGCGCGATGCAACTGGCTCTTAAAGGGAATGGGAGATGAGACTCTGATTGGTTTATTCTAAAAACACACCTATAACTCATTAAGAAAATAAACTCAACCCTCTTAGACCATGCGCCATGGCGCAAAGTGGATTTTTCCATCCTTACATTAGCAAAAGTGGATTCTGACACGCCCTGAAAGCGTTTGCGCTCTGCGATTTGTGCATAGACCGTCAAAATAGAGCCCTCTGAGTTAAAGTTACCTCTCTTTCACAAACAGGCTTGACTTACCCTGCGTTCTCCAGTTTGACAATCCTGCCATATTAAAACGGAATAACCCAGAGCTTCTCTTATTTCAGGGTTAACATACTCTGAGTTCACTTAACCTTCTTTCTGAAACGGGGCCACTGAATTCATTTATGCTTATTGATGTTTTAAAACTAAAAACTCACAACATCCAGGCCGTCAGTCCACTGGAAATCCTCTTCAACTGTACGATCATTCAGACCGATCCAAACATTTTCATGACCCAGACCTGATGATAGAGCACACAAATACACTTTTAGCACCATTTATCTCCTGTTAAAATTATGTTTACTTCCATGTAAATCACTACTGCTGAACATTTCTGCCAGCACCTTTAGATTTAAAAAAAAAATTAATAATAAAAAATCAACCCGACATTCTGAGCAGATGTTTAGATCATCTATCAACATATTTAAAAATTAAAACATATTCAAAGTACAGTTACTACTTATTTTATCTTCTATATTTCCTAAATATTATACCCTTTATGGGTCAGTGAAAGATTTTATATCAATTATACTACATCTTCAAACATAGTGTATTATATAATATGTTATATACAGTTGAAGACAGAATTATTAGCCCCCTAAATTATTAGCCCCGCTGTTTATTTTTTCCCCAATTTCTGTTTAACGGTGAGCAGATTTTTTCAGCACATTTCTAAACATAATAGATTTAATAACTAATTTCTAATCACTGATTTATTTTATCTTTGTCATGATAACAGTAAATAATATTTGACTAGATATTTTTAAGACACTTCTATACAGCTTAAAGTGACATTTAAAGGCTTAACTAGGTTAATTAGGTTAACTAGGCAGTAATTAGGCAAGTTATTGTATAATAATGGTTCGAAAAAATATAGCTTAAAAGGGGCTGATAATAATGTCCTTAAAATGGTTCATTAAAAATTAAAAACTGCTTTTATTTAAGCCAAAATAAAACAAATAAGACTTTCTCCAAAAGAAAATATATTATCAGACATACTGTGAAAATTTCCTTGCTCTGTTAAACATCATTTAGGAAATATCTAAAAAAGAAAAAAATTCTAAGGGGGGCTAATAATTCTGACTTCAACTGTATATCGGCTATCGGCCTCCAAATCTGAAGAGTTATTATCAGTTATTGATATCGGCCAAAAAATCCATATCAGTCCATCCCTACTTTCAAGGTATGCGATACATGATATATTTCATTTGTGAATATGCATATGTAGTTTGTTAGATATCATTGCATATGCAGTCTATGCACTACATCAGTGGTCACCAAACTTGTTCCTGGAGGGCTGGTGTCCTGCAGATTTTAGCTCCAACCCTGAGCAAACACACCTGAACAAGCTAATCAAAGTCTTACTAGGTATACTTGAAACATCCAGGCAGGTGTGTTAAGGCAAGTTGGAGCTAAACCCTGCAGGGCACCGGACCTCCAGGACCAGGATTGGTGACCCCTGCACTACATACATATTATTTCACATGCAATATTGCAAAATATTTAAATACAATCAATTTATGCAAGATATTAGTGCTGACGCAGTACACTTATTTGAATACTTTGTAACACATTGTGATTATGCATATGCAAAACAATAAGCTGACAGATTTATGCATAAACTGAACATGCATATGTAATATGTAAATCATTATTACATATTCAATAGATAAAAATGTTAAAATGGGATTCAAAAATTAAAAACTGCTTATTCTAGCCGAAATAAACAGACAAATAAGTAGAAAAAATATTATAGGAAATACTGTAAAAAAATCCTTGCTCTAAAAAACATCATTTGCTTATTTTATTATTATTTTTCAATCAGAGGAGGGCGAATAACTGTATGGGCCCTATCATACACCCGGCGCAGTAGTCTGTTGGTAGTTTCAGCTTGGCGCAAGAGGCGTTTTGAGGCGTTGCGCTACGCTGTTTAAATAGCAAATGCATTAGCACTCATTTGTGCGCCCATAGGCGTTCTGGTCTAAAAAGGAAGGTGTTCTGAGGCGGACCGCTGGTGCGTTGCTATTTTGAGAAACTATAATAGATTTTTCATTAGACCAAAACAAACCCGGTCTAAACTCCAGCGCAGAGTTGTGCCTCGCTTACACACTGCTTAATACACACAAGAGAGCAATAGGCAAATATCTTTACATATGAAAAAATTTAAATATTAAGGATATATATAGGATAAAATAAGAATAGATATAGGATATAAATATAAAGGATTAAAATTCTACAAAACATATTATTTTCTAGCCTACATAAATATGAAAAATCACTGCTTTTATGTCTTCTTCATCTCGGGAGGCTTTTTCAGTTCATTCATAACAATTTGCTTTTGTATAATGTTATTATTATTAGCAGTATTATTTATTATATCCATATTTATATTTGTTTTATTAAAAACAAGCTTAGATTTGTCCACCTGTCAGGTTTTAGACCGTATGGGGCACAGCATGTGTTTTAGGATATAACTCAGGTTTTTGAGCACATTTTGTTATTATTATTCATTTATTCGTTTGCTGGAAATTAGAACTGAATTTAGAAATAGTTTTGAAACGAATATTTGCGCTTAACAAACAAAAGTATTTATTTATAGACTAATTGATGTCTGTACGTAAAGGATTCCCTATCCAAGAGCGAAAGTGAAAGTTGATCCATTATCTCTCATTCTCACGCAGTAGATGCTCTGTTTAACAGTTTTCTGTTAAAAAAAACTGTTAACTGTTTGCTAGTGAGATGCTCATTTTTCCCACTTAGACTTACTTTGCGTCCTGTAAATAGCGAATGCGCTCTTGGCGCGACGCAGCTGGCTCTTAAAGGGAATGGGAGATGAGACTCTAATTGGTTTATTCTCAAAACACACCCATAACTCATTAAGAAAATAAACTCAACCCTTATAGACCACGCGGGAAATAGCAGATTTCCCGTCCTTGAATTAATAAAAACACATCCTGACACGCCCTGAAAGCGTTTGCGCCCTGCGTTTTGCGCTCTGCGCATGGACCGTCAAAATAGAGCCCTATGTGTGTATGACCGTTGAGGAAGTCCTGCTCCATGGAGGATGTGCTGCTGGTCAGGTGGCTGCTGTGCTCTCTGCAGGCCTTCTCTGCATCCTCCCAGGTGTGTCGTCGTGGAAACAGACGATAGCAGTGACCGTGAAACTTCTTCCAGCCGTGCTCGCAGCCCTCGGTGTCTGCGGACACAAGAAAAAGTGCCAAATATGTCAAATATTGACATGAAAATATCAAGACAAAGGAGATTTTATTCTAATTATTGATTTTGTACAACACACACAGAATGTTTGTATATCTGTGTGAGTGTTTATGTGTTTATGCATGTGTCTGTGTGTGTGTGCATGTGTGTTGGTATGCAAGAGTGCGTATATGCGCATGTATAATCGAGAGTCTGTGAATGTTTGTGTGTGTGAACATTTGAAAGTTTGTGTGTGCGTTTAAATGTGTGAGCATGTGCTTGTAGGCATGCGAGTGTGTATGTGTGTGCCCCCTGTGAGGCTGAAAGTTTGTGTGTGAGATCATGCGTGTGAGTGTGCGTAGGTATGCAAGTGTGTGTACGGGCGTGTATGTATGTAAATCTGAATGTTTGTGTGTGTGCGGGCATGTGTGAATGTTTGTGTGTGCATATAGGTATGAGAGCTTGTATGTGTGCGAGTGTTTGTGCGTGCATGTGTGTGTTGGAATGTATATTGGCCACAGCCATGTCACCCTGCAGCCCAAGACCGGTTACTCACTGAAGCTAAGCAGGGCTGAGCCTGGTTAGTACCTGGATGGGAGACCGCTAGGGAACACTAGGTTGCTGTTGGAAGTGGTGTTAGTGAGGCCAGCAGGGGGTGCTCAACCTGTGGTCTGTGTGAGTCCTAATGCCCCAGTAAAAGTGAAGGGGACACTCCACTGTCAGTGGGCGCCGTCTTTCGGATGAGACGTTAAACCGAGGTCCTGACTCTCTGTGGTCATTAAAAATCCCATGGCACTTCTCGTGAAAGAGCAGGGGTGTAACCCCGGTGTCCTGGCCAAAGTCCCTCAGTTGGCCCTTATGATCATGGCCTCCCAATCATCCCCTTCCGCCGAATTGGCTCTATCACTGTCTCTCCACTCCACCAATAGCTGGTGTGTGGTGAGCGCACTGGCGCCGTTGTCCTGTGGCAGCCGTCGCATCATCCAAGTGGATGCTGCACACTGGTGGTGGTGTGGAGAGACCCCCCCTCATGATTGTAAAGCGCTTTGGGTGTATAGCCATACACAATAAATGCGCTATATAAATACACATTACATTACATTTACATTACATTACATTATATGTGGGCATTTTTGTATGTGAGTGTTTATGTATGTGTGTGTGTGTGTAAATATGAAAGCAGGCCATCAGAGGTCCACTATTAAAGGCGCAGAGCTGTAATTAAGTCTCCATCAGTGTTAGAGCAGCAGAAACAGTGAACCTGAAGGTGTGTGTGTGTGTGTGTGTGTGTGTGTGTGTGTGTGTGTGTACGTGTTTTTGTGACATATCAGGACACAAATCTGTATAATGACATGGGTATGACAGAGGTATTACAAAAAGGACGTGAAATATGAGGACATTGGTGATGTCCTCATTTCTCAAAATGCTTATAAATTCGACAGAATGAGTTTAATCAGAGAGTAAAGCTGCACACTGTCTCCTGTGAAGGTTGGGTTTAGGGGTGGGGTGGGGTGAGGGCAATACAATATACAGTTTGAACAGTATAAAATGAATGGAAACCTAAGTAATGTCCCCACTTTTCACAAAAACAAACGTGTGTGTGTGTGTGTGTGTGTGTGTGTGTGTGTGTGTGTGTGTGAGAGTGTGTGAATAATAGAGGATGATAATGTACAATCACACTATCATTACTGCTAAATAAACCCAGACGAGCGGCTGAAGGGTCTCGCTGCCCCCTCAAGAGCTGTATCCTCAGATAATGACCAGTGACTGAACATTATCCTGCTCATTAAACAGCCACTTCTGAAGGGGAAAATCAATAAACGCACAGGGAATATTGATAATGAGTGAGTGAAATGATTTATTTAATGAGATGAAAGAAAGTGCAGAGTGCTGTATATATAATAATAATAATAATAATAATAATACATTTTATTTATATTGCGCTTTTCTCAAACTCAAAGCGCTAATAACAGCATCAACACACAGAAGAACATGAACTACACAAAAAAGTAAGAATGATAATAATGATAAAAATATACATATTAAAGGGCACCTAGGTTACCCCTTTTTTCAGATTTAATATAAGTCTTTTGCGTCTCTAGAATGTGTATATAAAGTTTCAGATCAAAATACCCATCAGATTTTTCATTATACCTTTTACAAGATGCTGTTTTATACTGATTTCCAGCAGGGGGTGGTTTTGTCGTACTGCGCCTTTAAGCCGAGTCTCTCCCGCCCACTATTTCTACATGCCTCCTCCCTCAGCTGCGTCAGACAACAGACAGACTTAAAGGAAGAAGGTCTCACGTAGCGTTTGTGAGATACTACAGTAAGAACTAACCTTTACTAATCAGTATTGTGAAGTTGCATTGATGAGTCACACACAATATCGTTACAAAGTTAACGCGCGCGCACACACACACACACACAGATACACACGCAGGCAGGCAGGCAGACAGACAGAGCGCGCTTAGCTTAGTTAAGGCTAACCTCAAGTACTGTGTGGATATCTGTTATGCTAATGTACAAAATAAACCTGATTTAACGTCCACAAACCGGGATTGAAGCATCTTCTTTTATAATTGTTCTGACTCGCGGCTGTGCTGATGAAGTAAAGCTGAAGTAAAACGCTGTAATTAATTACACACATACTCTGTTTTAAAACACTGTAAACATGTGAAACTTACTCTTAATCACATTTGATGATGATTGCTGATCCTAGCGAACAGAACAGACCTTTTATTCCCGGTTGCTTTGCGTATGTCTGCCTGGTCTTGTTGACATACACGCGACTACCGGGACATGTTAATGCGCGCAGCTGTCAATCAATTCGTTGGGCGGGGGGATCGCACACCTACGTAATGGTGCGATCGATTTGAAAACAGCTCCAATTGGCCGACCCTTTTTTGTAGTTAAATTGAAAAAAAAGGACTGAGTGTGTTCATATCACCCCAGTATGACGGTCTATACACTATACCAACACACAGATCTGTCCAAACAGCTTGAAAAGTAGATTTTTTACCATAGGTGCCCTTTAAAAGAAGGCCTCATAAGTTATAAGCAATTAAAAAAAGATGAGTTTTAAGAAGTTTCTTAAAACAGTCCAGGGAACTGGCGTTTCTGATGTTTGTGGGGAGAGCATTCCACAATTTAGGTGCACGATAAGAGAAAGCCCTGCCTCCCATGCTGCTGAGTTTGCAACGGGGCTGATACAAGGTGAGCCCCGAAGCAGAACGTAGATTGCGAGAGGATGAGGAGGTTGATATCAGGTCACATATATTATCAGGTGTGGAACCATGAACAGCTTTGTAAGTTAAAATCAAGGTTTTAAAATCGATGCGTGACTTTACAGGCAACCGGTGTAACTGCTGAAGAACAGGAGTAATGTGAGTGCGAGATGATGTGTGAGTTAACACACGTGCGGCTGAGTTTTGAACATATTGTAAGATCTTAAGTGAATTGGCTGGCAGACCCCCAAATAAAGAGTTGCAAAAATCTAAACGAGACGTAATAAAAGCATGGACAAGCTTTTTTTATATAAATGAAAGAGATATGACATTAAGGATTGAATGTTTAATATCTTTACTGCAGTGTAAAATTAAGCAGTAAATAAAGCAGATTATTGTTAGTGTACTTTACAAGAAAAAATATGTCGGGTCTTTTTACCTAAAACTATTGCTGCCAAAAGTAGTGCGTTAACGCATGCGATTAATTTGAAATATTTAACGTGTTTAAAAAAATTAACGCAATTGCAGTTTTTTTATTTCCTGTTGTGGTCGACGTGTGTTCAACATGCAAAGAAATATGGATAAGACTAAGGAAGCACTTTTTGAAGGCAAGTTTCAGTATTAAACAAATAATGTGGCATCACCAGGCTCTCCAGCGTTTCATGCAATTTTGGGTGTTTCATTTTTAACTTTCGACTTCTGTTTTAATGGCGTTTGATACCACATGGCGAACAGAAAGAAAAATGTTCGCATTTCTTGACTCGGTGATCCTTTAAGGTAATCAAAAATCACTGCTTACATGGTCGACTCTTAAAAAGAGTATTATCTTAATCATATTAAAAGCGGAGTATTGGTGTCCATGTAAATGTACTCAGAAAGTGCCAGATGAAGTCGCGAGCTTTTAAAGACAGTGCATTCCAACGCCTTTCAGCATGAGCCCTCCATTGTTTCATTATGCTTGACGTGTTTCCTCCTTAAACGCAACGAAAGTGTCTGCTTCGCGTTGTTGTGTCAGTATCCTTGCATACCTGTCAACCCTCCCGTTTTTCTTGGGATTCTCCCGTATTTTACTGTTCTATCCCGCCATCATCCCGTAAAGGTATTTTCCCGTATTTTCAGTCTTTCTCTGAACAGCCGAGTCTCCCTATACGCAACCCATACCACCGAACCACCAGGGGTCGCCCTATGCTCCAAAACGTGAATCTTCTGTGCTTTCTCTTTGTTTAGGAATGAAAACACTTATAAATAAATATTTAAAACGGCACGATTCCATTTCCTTTAGATTACAGGTGCATTCGCCCATCCTATACAATCCTCAAAACAGTCATATAACTTAATGGTGCATGACTGTCAGCTGACGTGCTCTAAAGTGATAAACTGTTTCCCAAACGGATTCTATACACGCGATTTGAAGAAGAAAGTCTGGCTTTTGGGTGTGTGTTTAAACAGACATACACACATAATTAATAATAATAACATATAAGGATGTCGATCTTGGTGGGTTTTTTTTTTTTCCAAACACAACTAATTTCGTCTTAAATGAGCATAAAAAGTAAGGAAAGCAGTCGAATGCTTTCATTATAACGTTAGATGTGTGCCTTTTTAAAGTGATTGGGGGAATCCCTAATCCCTTATTAAGGTGGGCTTATCCCTTATTATCACATCCCAATGTTAACAGGTATGTCCTTGTGAAATGCAGTAATACTTTAGAACGCTTAGTTTAAGCAAATTTGATGAACGCGATCATGCGTGTTGAATCTAAAGGGAGTTGCTCTGGCTGCCCTGTCCTGCGTGCGTTGTGTGTGTGTGTGTGTGTGTGTGCACAGAGCACAGAGCTCTTAAAGGGGCAGGTGCTCAACGCGATCGCAAAGTGAAGAGCAAGTGCCTCCTGAGAGAGGCACCTCAGCCAATGAGAGCACAGGGCCAGTGGCTCTGGCACCGGGCCACCCCCCTGTGCACGGCCCTGATTTGTGTGTCTGTGTGTGTGCGCGCGTGTGCGTTTTTTAGCAACAAACCTGCCTAAATGTCATTGTCTGTAGCCACTAAATTAAAAAGTTAGGAATTTCAGTGAGATTGCGTTGCACTCTCAGCTCACATCATTCAAAAGAAAAGGTCCACATTGTCCCCCGATAATGTCAACAGACTGGACTGTCTAAGCAACTGGATGAATGTAAAAGAGGACTAAGAAAGTTTTTCTACTTTATAATTAATGTTCTCAACTCACAGCAATACAACTTTACAATGAGTACAATTGTTTGTATTCAATACTTTATTATTATTATTATTATTATTTTACACTTTCCAGATCTGTAATGCCTGTATTTTGGCATTTTTCTGCAGTACACTTGGAATCTAACATAGAAATCAATGTTTTCTTTATTGGTATTGATTGTTTTGAAATTTAAATGTCATTAACATGCCTGTGTTTTAATTTCTGTAATAAATATGGCTGTCAGGTCAGGATCTTGATGGTTTATTGTGGCTTTGTTGTTTACATGAAGAAATCTGTGTTACAAGTGAAACAAAAATTCTAATAAACAATTATATTTTGAGTTTAAATAGTTTTTTCTGCGTTTACATTAATTTTACATTTGAATAGCCAAAATTACAAGTTTCTGTCTTTTAAATGGGATTAATTTTCATAAAAAGTGTGATTAATTAGTTAATTTTTAATTGATTGACAGCACTACTTGAAACATAAGTGAAGTTTATTGATAAACAAATTTCGAGAGGATCACGTGCTTATGATTGTTCACAGCTGTTCCAACTTTAGCTAATAACTGATTATCCTATCAGATGATCCTTAACTTACTATAAATAACCAGACTTTTCTCATCTCAATATCTTCGTCTTGAAGAAACCGCCCCACCCAGCCCTACTTTCCCTCCTTTCAAACGGGCGTCACAGTGGCCAGTGATTAGCGCTGTTGCCTCACAGCAAGAATGCTCCTGGTTTAATTCCTTTCCAAACCAGATGGCATTTCTGTGCCGAGTTTGCTTGTTCTCCCCGTGGTCGCGTGGGTTTTCCCCGGGTCCTCCGGTTTCCTCCCACACTTCAAAAACAAGCACCCTAAACATTTAATCCAAAATACTTTAGCTAAACTCTGAGTACACCTTTCAGCATCCATATCTGACACTTAGCTACAACAAGCAAGAGGGGGAGACATCGAGATCTACCTGAGCTCAAACTCCCCTCTCGCCTTGCAAGGGAGGAAGCCCAGGGCTCGAGGATCTTATAAGCTCAGGGCTCTCTCCCGGGACAGCACGCCAAACTAGCTTTATTATCAATCATCAGCTAAGTGTGAACTCTTGAAATATATATTTAATCATTTGACAGACTTTGCAAATATGCAAATCGATATAAAATATTATTACATATTTTTGGACAGGCAATAAATGAATATCCCTTATTTTATACAGTACAAATGTGTTTATGCAGAGTTTTAAAAAAAATATTATTAATTATTCAAATTAATATCACTGCATGTGCAACATATGCAAAATATTACTATAAAGTTTAGTATCTTCATTGAAGTGTAAAAATTACATTTCAAAGCAGTAAATAAAACAGATTATTGGTAGTGTACTTCACAAGAAAATATTACTCTAGTCTTTACTTAAAACATACATATCTATTTAATCATTTTGCAATCATATTACTGTACATGCAATATATTAAATAGGCAGAATTGTATACAGTGTGAATATGTATATGAAGAGTGTGTTAAACATGAATTATTACCAAAAATATTATTGCATGATCAGCAAATGCACAGTATTACTGCTTACGCAATTATATCAATTAGATTTTTGCATAATGCAAATGTGCATATACAATATGCTAAATATGCAGCATATTTAAAATATTATTGCACATGCAATAAACGCAAAACAATACTGTTTATGTAACATACTTGTTATATATATATAGATAGATAAAAGCCAGAATTATTAGCGCCCCTGTATATATTTTTTACCCAATTTCTGTTTAACAGAGAGAAGTTTTTTTTCAACACATTTCTAAACATAATAATTTTAATAACTCATTTCTTATAACTGATTTATTTTATCTTTGCCATGATGACAACACAATATTTGACTAGATATTCTTCAAGATAATAGTATTCAGCTTACAGTGACATGTGAAGGCTTAACTAGGTTAATTGGGGTAAAGAGTAATAAGGCAAGTCATTGTATAACAGTGGTTTGTTCTGGAGGCAATCCAAAATTTCAAGAGTTCACACTTAGCTGATGACTGTTTATAAAGCTTGATTGGTATGCTGTCCCAGGAGAGAGCCCTGAGCTCATAAGATCCTCGAGCCTGGGGCTCCCTCCCGTTTGCAAGGCGAGAGATGAGTTTGAGCTCAGGTAGATCTGGAGAACTCCCCTGCTGTAGTAGCTAATGAACATATAGTGATTGCTCTTAGGAGATAACTACTTATTAGGAGCATGTCTATGGTGCTGATTTGGATCAGTCAATTAACTTAAGTTGCATGTTTTTGGATGGTGGGAGGAAACTAGGGAACCTGGGGAAAACCCACATGAGCACGGGGAGAACTAGAACCAGTGATGTTATTGCTGCGAAGCAACAGTGCTAACCACTGGGCCACCGTGCCATCCATCTAGGAAAGGAGGAGGAGTAGGGGTGGAAGAGGGGATTCTTCAAAACAAAGATGGCTGTTATATGGAACTGAGGGGTATTTATAGTGGCTAAGGAATCATCTGATTGGTGAATCTTAAATTAAACTAGATTATTAAAGTTTGTCGAGACAAACTTTGAGGCTGGCTTGCAAAAAAGGATAGATAGATAGATAGATAGATAGATAGATAGATAGATAGATAGATAGATAGATAGATAGATAGATAGATAGATAGATAGATAGATAGATAGATAGATAGATAGATAGATAGATAGATAGATAGATAGATAGACAGATAGAAGAATAGATGGATAGATGGATAGACGGATAGACGGATAGACAGATAGACAGATAGACAGATAGACAGATAGACGGATAGACGGATAGACGGATTGACGGATAGACGGATAGACAGATAGACAGACAGACAGACGGATAGACGGATAGACGGACAGACAGATAGACAGATAGATAGATAGATAGATAGATAGATAGATAGATAGATAGATAGATAGATAGATAGATAGATAGATAGATAGATAGATAGATAGATAGATGATAGATAGATAGATAGATAGATAGACAGATAGAAGAATAGATGGATAGATGGATAGACGGATAGACGGATAGACAGATAGACAGATAGACAGATAGACGGATAGACGGATTGACGGATAGACGGATAGACAGATAGACAGACAGACAGACAGACGGATAGACGGATAGACGGATAGACGGACAGACAGATAGACAGATAGATAGATAGATAGATAGATAGATAGATAGATAGATAGATAAAAATAGTTTGAAAAAAGTACAGACAGATAGATAGATTCAATGTTAATGACAGTCACTTGCAATGGAAGTCTATGGGACAGTTGCTAGGGTGCAGTATCTGGTTGTTAGGGTGTGGCTAGAAAGTTAAAAGGCCACCAGTGATTGGCTGCTGGCTAGACTGAGTTAAATGAGCTCAGGCATTAGTCTGTAGGACAGTCTGATGCAGAGTTATGAGCTCACCGAGTTTGATCCAATGTAAAGTCAATGACAATCTTTTGAATGGAAGTCTATAGGACAGTTTCTAGGGTCCCAAAAGTGGTTGCTAGGGCTTGGCCAGAAAGTTAAAAGCTCATCAGTTATTGGCAGTTAGGTAGTCTGACTTAAATGAGCCCAGTTAGAAGTCTGTGCGACAGTCTGACGCAGAGTTATGAGGTCACAAAGTTTGGTCCAATGTTAAGTCTATGGGATTTTTAAGACGGTCCTGGGACGTTTTTCGGAAAACCGAAAGTCGGATCAGTCGGAAAAGATATAGCACACCGAGTCAGACTAGTTTGGAGGTCTGGTGTGAGCTTGGTGGTCATTGCTCGGAAGCTCTAGGAGGAGATAGTGTTTGATTTTTAGTCTCAGAAGAAAAATAGGATTTCAGTAGTCTGGCTTGCTTTCACAAGCCAGTCTAATAATATGGGACCGGCCACAAGCAATCATAAGCATGTGATCCTCTTGAAATTAGTTCATAAATAAACTTTACCTCAAAAAAAATTAAAAACCACTTTTATTCTAGCTGAAATAACACAAATAAGACTTTCTCCAGAAGACAAAATATTATAGGAAATACTGTGAAAAATTCCTAGATCTGTTCAACAACATTTGGGAAATATTTGAAAAAGAAATTCACAGGAGGGGGAATGAGCCCTCAGCTGTATCTCCTGTACATGCTCTTCCACAAACTTCCCGCCTGGCTCTTATGAGCTGATCTAAGTTGGATTTTGTCAGCAGGGAAACTCTCAAATGTGAAACTCATTAATTTGGAGTGTGATGTGATAATGGACGAGTTGTTTTCTCACCTCTCTCACATCGGTCTCCGCTGTAGCTGGGCAAACACAGACACACAAAGGAGTCCTCTTTATCAATGCAGGTCCCGCCGTTTTCACAGGGGTTCGACTGACAGTCGTCCACATCTGACAGAACAAAAACATTCAAATATTAACTCATATGAACAGAATTATACACATTTTTGTGTATAAAAACAAAACATTTAATAATTGCACATACACTTGTTTAGTACTGCTATTATAAAGTCAAATGTTAACCAAACTAACCTATTTGGTAATCGAAATTAAGTTGAAATTAAATATTACATTTCCAGTACATGTAATGCAAATATAACATGAATGACAAGAGAAAGGGGTCAGTGGTTGCCACAGTGGAATGAACCGCCAACTATTCCAGCATATGTTTTACACAGCAGATGCCCTTCCAGCTGTAACCCAGTACTGGGAAACACCCATACACACTCTTTCACACACACACACACACACACACATACACTACGGACAACTTAGTTTATTCAATTCACCTAAAAAACTAAATTCATTAGTTTGCTGTAAGTGAAAGATGAGAGGCGGAGCTAAAACACGATCTGCCCCCTACCAGATTGTATGTCCACACATGAAAATAAAGCCTGACTTGACTCAACATTCAGTTTTAATTGGAAATGCATCATCCCCAAACTGAACTCAAAGCAGCATCTTCTGGTTTATGTTGATTTTAAGGTTGTTAACCGTAGTAAAATCAACCTTCAGCCTTTACTTGCATCAAATCACTCGGGTTTGAAACAGAGCACAACATCATTTCACACACACTTTCTCAGTAATGAACTGTCAGGTGTGTGAAGAAGCTGGCAAAATATTTACAGAAGCCAGCAGCCGCTGTCAGCTTCCATTAGACCTAGCAGAAAAGCATCATTCTGGGATTGACTTCAAACTCCCACAGGCTTCATGTCATACACCATCGAGAAAACACACGCATGCGCACTCACACACACACACACACACACACACACACACACACACACACACACATACACACACACACACACACACACACACACACACGAGTGGTCAGAGACATCAGAGCTAAGTGAAGATTTAACAACCACCTAAATCCCCTCTGAGGACACACCGCTGTCAGATACACTAAACTATATGGAGTCAAATCAGTCTCAAAAATAATACATTTACAAAATTAAATTCATACATGCGGAGCACAATTCACATTTACAAAATCCAATTCGTAATTTCAAAACTTGAATCGTATATGCACAATTATAATTTTCAATTCAAAACTCGATTCGTAAACACACAAATCCAATTCGTAATTTCGAAACACGATTTGTAAATATGAAAATCTAATTCATAAAATCAAAATAATTCGTAAATACGCAAATCCAATTTGCAATTTCAAAACTCGATTCGTAAATGCACAAATATTATTTGTAAATTCAAAACTCGATTTGTTAATACACAAATTTAATTCGTAAATTCAAAACCCGATTCGTAAATGCACAAATTCAATAAGTAAGTTCAAAACTTGTTTCGTAAATACACAAATATAATTTGTAAATTCAAAACTCTACTCGTAAATACACAATTACAATTCATAAATTTAAAACGGTTCGTAAATACACAAATATTATTCGTGAATTCAAAACTCAATTCGTAAATACACAAATCCTATTCATAAATTCAAATTAATTCGATTCAAAAACTCGTTTCAAAACTTGATTCGTAAATAAATAAATATAATTCGGAAATTCAAAACTCGATTTGTAAATACACAAATATAATCCAAAAATTCAAACTGATTCATAAATGCACAAACATTATTCATATATTTAAAACTCAATTCGTACACAAATCCAATTAGTAAATTCATAAATTGGTTTCGTAAATACACAAATCCAATCAGTAAATTCATAAATAGGTTTCGTAATTACACAAATCCAATTAGTAAATTCAAAACTTGTTTTGTAAATAGACAAATATAATTTGTAAATTCATAACTCTATTTGTAAATACACAATTGTAATTCATGAATTTAAAACGATTCGTAAATACACAAATATTATTCATATATTCAAAACTCAATTCGTAAATACATAAATATAATTCGTAAATTCATAATTCTATTCATAAATTAACAATTATAATTCATAAATTCAAAACTCAAATTGTAAATTTACAAATATTATTTGGAAATTCAAAACTCGATTCGTAAATAAACAAATATAATTCATTAATTCAAAACTTGATTCGTCAATACACAAAAATAATCCATAAATTTAAAATGATTCATAAATGCACAAATATTATTCATAAATTCAAAATAGTTCATAAAATCGGAAATTTAATTTGTAGTTTCAAAACTCGATTCGTAAATACCCAAACATAATTTGTAAATTCATAACTCTATTTGTGAATACACAATTCTAATTCCTAAATTTAAAACTCGATTTGTAAATACACAAATATTATTTGTAAATTCAAAACTCAATTCGTAAACACACAAATCTAATTCGTAATTTCAAAACACAATTTGTAAATATGCAAATCCAATTAAAAAATAAAAACATTTAATAAATACGCTACTCCAACTTGTAATTTCAAAACTCGATTCGTAAATACACAAATATAATTCTTAATTTCAAAACTCGATTCGTAAATACACAAATATAGTTTGTAAATTCAAAATTCGATTTGTAAATACACAAATCCAATTCACTTGACAATAATATTTATTATTTTGCTCGTAAATTAACTTTTTAAAAAATTATTGAACTGATTTAAAACCCAATCATTTTTAAAAGAGTGTGGTGAGTGTGTGTGAAGCGCCAGCAGTTTTGGGCTTCTGACTGATGCCGTTACACAAACTTTTAAGACGATCCACTTTTATCTTTTTCCAGCTCCTCTGATGACAACTTTACTGCAAGCCTGACAAGCGCTGAGCCTCTGAACTGCTGGCTATATTGGGAAACGTCTGCATTAAATCATCTTTTCTGAGAGTAATCCTGCATCTGTAAAGCGCTTTTGCAAAGAGCTGTGACAGACGCTCAATGAGTCTTAAACACTTCAGATTCAGCATCGCATCACTGTCGCCTCATATTAAACTCAGAATTCAGACACTCGGATCACACTGCTTATAGTTGTGTTTTTGTCTATTGAAGTCTGAATTATTAGCTCTACTTATTTAATTTTCCGCCCAATTTCCATTTAACGGCTCAGTGGTCAGCACTGTGACCTCACAGCAAGAAGGTCACTGGTTCGAGTGCTGGCTGGGCCAGTTGGCATTTCTGTGTGGAGTTTATATGTTCTCCCCATGTTGGTGTGGGTTTCCTCTGGTTTCCCTCACAGTCCAAACACATGCACTATAGGGGAATTGATTAATTAAAATGTCCATAGTGTGTGAGTGTGCTTGGGTTTGAGTGTGTATGGGTTTCCAAGTACTAGGCTGCGGCTGGAAGACCATCCACTGCGCTACTTATATATCTTTACATCAACTACATTAGCATGACATCTAAATGTTTGAAAGGATCATTTCAAAGACACAAGGACAGTACTTCTAGCTTGCTGAACATTGCAGGACACAACTAGAAGTACTGTCCTCACAAATATAAGTAGTCTTTAAGGGCACAAAGCACTATTTCAAGAGTTCACACTTAGATAATGCTTGACTCTTTAAGCAAGTTATCATGCTGTCCTGGGAGAGAACCATGAGCTCCCGCCTGGTCAATAAGCATCATAGATATATACACTAGATGTCGCCTGGCCTATTGTTGCCTATTGGACGGACTGCGTCAATAGCACGGCCATCTTGGTACAGGGTAGCACTCCTTTGAAATGAATGCGGGACCAAGGTGCAGTGGAGGACTGTGGCCATGCAAAGCCAGAGATATACACATATACACATATATCTATGATCGGGAGTTTTCCTGGATGTTAGTATGCAATTTGTTTTTCTAATTACGAAATGTATAATTTTACATCACTTTTCTACATTGATGGATCAGTGACCACACGGGCATTCCTGACAAAAGCTTGTGTTTGTGTGTACAGAAATGTACTATCCACCCTCCCTGTTAAATTTGATCTAATCGTGTCCTGAAACACAGCTCCTCTCCTGCTTTCACTTCTCATACTGACGGAGGGAGCGATTGGTTTGTGAATGAATCTCCGTTATGAATGACTCCTTCACTAGCCGACAATAATACAAGTTTCTGGCAGTGCAGCATGTCATATTTCTTTTGCATTGTTTGCTGATTTTATTCAACAAAACTAGCATAAACCGAGTGTTTAGTGCGAGTTGGAGTGGCTTTGCTGTATGGTGAATGCAGTAAGTGACTGTTATCATCAATAACGTTACCTGATTAGCACAAAAAACAGAAAAAACTTAATATTACCTATGAAATGTTCTGCCTTTGTGCTTTGTTTTCTTTGTTTGCTCGTTACTACACCCGTAGACAGCGCTAAAGTCCCGCATCTTCACGTAATAACACTATCTTGACTAGTGCGGCTGAATGACATTTGTCCTGGGAGCACTGTACCAATGTGGCGGCGCTATTGACGCATGCTCAGGGTCTCTATGCGATATCTAGTGTATATATCTATGAATAAGCATTAGGAGGGATATGAGATCAGGTAGTTCTCGATAGCTTCCCAAGTAGACCACTAGCTGCGCTAGTTTGTAGTAAGTGCTGGTGACTTTAACTTTTGTTGCATGGTTTTTGAGTGTGGGAGGAAACCGGAGTACCCGGGGAAAACCCACGCGAACACGGGGAGAACATGCAAACTCTGCATAGAGACTGTCGGTTGGCTCAGCTAGTGTTGAACCAACGACCTCCTTGCTGTGGGGCAACAGTGTTAGCCACCGAGCCATCGTGTCGCCTGAACTGAGGAGGAGGGAGAAGGGATGGATAGGGGGGGGTTTCCAAAACGAAGATGAGGAATGAAGTTTAGGCTGTGTATTTATATTGAATTTAGAGTGATCCGATTGGCTCGTTAGGGATTAGTGATAGGTATTAGCTGTAGTCAATCCTATCACGTGTTCCTCTCGAAATTAGTTTAAGAAACTTCACCTATCCGTAACGTTAGATGTTTTGGTCAGTGGTGTTTCTATTGTAGCAGAGTACTGGGGTCCGTTCTTCGTACCTCGCTTAAAAGATCTAAGATGATTTGGCAGACCCTGGATATTTTAATCTTGATAACTGATCTCTCGCTAATTTGGTTCTCCAAACAAGTTCGCGAATCAGATTAGAATATCTGGATGAACTGATCTGAGATCGCTGCGTTTGTTGTTAAGGACAGATCTATCGATCCTCGAAATCATGATAAGCAATGCAACGATTGGCTGACGGCACAGCTGCGTAATGACATCATCTGATTAATATTCAATTATCCATGTGAGCAAAATTACATCAAATTAGCAGTAAACGGCTTGTTAAATATGACACGCAGTAACTTCACATTTGTTGTGAGCTGCAGGCTTTACACTTTCATGTGTCAAGAGTATTCATCATGTATTTCAATGCAAATCAGTGTATTTAGTTCCACATTTAGAAAAGATTTTCTTTATTATAGTAGCCGTTTTTTAATCGGTGTAAAGAATAACTGGTTGTTTCCAAAAGCATTTTCATATTGGTAAAGGAGTCTGCAACTTTTGTGAAGCATCAAATCACCTGTTTTAATTGTCAAAACATGTTTATGACTGCATAAATGTATTATTGCTTTTAAAAAAAGTCACATATTGTGCATTTCTATTATACACAATTTGTACTAAAGCGATCTAAAAAGTTCATATCAATAAGTTTTCTCTTTGCACCACCAGGTGGCAGTCTTTGTATTTTCATTTCGAGGGTGCAGATTGCATACGTTTTATTAATATGTTTAACTTTATTTATTTTATTAATGACTATAACTTTTATATATATAGTTAAAAAATATTTACTATTTTCCCAAGTGTATATAACTTTTACTGTAAGAAAAAATCAGAATTCGGAACATACTTTCTGTATTATCTTTGCTTGAACTGAGTCGATCTAGTCCTGTTTATATGATTTGAACCTGCTCCCGATCAGGTTTGACCTAGCAGATCTGTTGCCATGACAACAACTCTCGGATCAGCTTTGAAGAACGAAACAATCCTGGATCGTGTCAAATCGTCAATATCCAAATCCAGCTAACTGAGTGATCCACGTACGAAGAACGGACCCCAGATCGGCAGAAGTAAACCAGCAGCCTAAGATTTCACCAGATATACGTCACGTGCCGCTGTGCATATAGCCTATTGTACTGTTGTACTATTTTGTAGCACTACAATGCATGAACAAACAATGCTGGCGTTTTATTTTCTCTCTCATCTGTCATCATCTCTCAGGACTGTATATTTACAGTGGAACGCTGCTGTTTCTGTGTGATCAGAACATGTTTGATATGAAGCTCTGGAGAGGCTCGTGTGGAAACGCTGCTCTTTCAGAGGATCTGTGAATAATGTACGAGTCTGATTAAATATTCATGAAGAGCAGAAGTAAATCACGAGCCTTTAAGAAACCAGAGATGACTTCAGCAGGTGCTTTTACCGTCTGATGAGAATGATCGCAGAAATCAGCAGTGGAAAAACGGCCATTCAGAGAGGAAACTGATCTGATTTTGTGTGTGTACATGACTGCATATGCATTTTCTTTTTAGATATTTTATAGTTTCATTTAATGGAGTTTAATTTAGATATTAAATAGAGGTTTAATTGTATGCAGTTTTAATTAGAGATTATATGTAGTTTAAATGTATAGATTGTTAATTAATGATTTTATAGTTTTAATTTATAGAGTTTAATTAGATTTTATAAAGTTTTAATTGATAGATTTTTAATTACTGGCAGCTTAAAGATGCCTCTCATATGGAGAATGAAGTCACATGCATTGTTTAAGTTTAATTCAATTCAATTCAGCTTTATTTGTATAGCGCTTTTACAATGTAGATTGTGTCAGCAGCTTCACATAAATGGTCATAGTATCTGGATCAGGGTCGTTCAGTTTTTAGTGTTTAAGTTCAGTTCAGTTTAGCTCAGTTCAGTGTGCTTTAAAGTCAATACTGAGAGTCCAAAACTGAAGAGCAAATTCAAGTCTCAAAATCTTGATGGTTCTGTGGGTCTCGTCTATCAAATATGATTTCTATTTTGTATTCTCTATTGGATTGGGCTCAGGTGATTGGCTGGGCCATTCTACAGCTTGATTTTCTTTCTCTGAAAGCATTTAAGACTCTCCTTAACTGTCTTTTGGTTCATTGTCTTGCTGAAATCTCCACCCTGGGTTTATCTTCATCCTCCTGCTCATGTAGATGTTGGACTGAAGCAGCTGATATTCATTTACACTGAGGAAGGGCAGAAGGTTGCTGAAGAACTGCTGAGAGATTTCAGCTGCTGTCTGGGCTTTCACTGCCTTAATACACCTCCCTTTCTTCATGTGCTCAATGATTATTCCCTTAGTCACTTCATTTTATTACACATAACTTAATTTGTAAACTAATTAAACAACCAAGGTCTGCAGAAGAGCATCTCTGAATGCACAACATGTCTACCCTTGAGGCGGATGGGCTACAGCAGCAGAAGACCACACCGGGTGCCGCTCCTGTCAGCTAAGAACAGGAAACTGAGGCTACAATTCACACAGGCTCACCAAAACTGGACAATAGAAGATTGGAGAAACGTTGCCTGCTCTGATGAGTCTCCATTTCTGCTGACACATTTGGATGGTAGGGACAGAACAACATGAAAGCATGGATCCATCCTGCCTTGTATCAGTGGTTCAGGCTGGTTGGGTGGTGTAATGGTGTGGGGGAGATTTTCTTGGCACACTTTGGGCTCCATCCCTTTATGAGCACAGTGTCTCCATCTTCTGATGGCTACTTCCAGCAGGATAACGCACCATCTCATAAAGCACGAGTCATCTCAGACTGGTTTCTTGAACATGACAATGAGTTCACTGAACTCAAATGGCCTCCACAGTCACCTGATCTCAATCCAATAGAGCACCTTTGTGATGTGGTGGAATGGGAGATTGGCATCATGGATGTGCAGCCGACAAATCTGCAGCAACTGTGTGATGCTATCATGTCAATATGGAGCAAAATCTCTGAGGAATATTTCCAGTACCTTGTTGAATCTCTGCCACAAAGATTAAGGCAGTTCTGAAGGCAAAAATGGGTCCAACCCGAAATTAGTAAGGTGTACCTAATAAAGTGGCCAGTGTCTGTGTGTGTGTGTGTTTGTGTTTGTATATATATATATATATATATATATATATATATATATATATATATATATATATATATATATATATATATATATATATATATAATTCACTCAGAGTTTGTTTAAGAAATAATAAAAGATGTTCAGACAGGTTTTATAGTTGTAGTTAAATATAATGACCCTGCTACAAATACTATTTCATGATTTTTTCAAGAAGAAAACTGCTAGATTGTCTGTAATGTCACCCCAGTCCAGATAAACAGCACGCATACACACTGAAATGGAGTATATTTATGTATTTTCATTACTGTACGCAGGTCTGGAAGCAGTAAATGATGGCAGAATGTTGATTAGTGTGTGTATAAAGTCTGAAAATGTCCTCACCGATCTCACAGCTTTCTCCAGAGTAACCCTGCGGACAGAAGCAGCGGAAACCCTCTCCATGAGGAAGACACGTCCCTCCGTGAAGACAACTGCATCTGTCGTCCTCTGAAACACATACACACACACACATATGGGTTATGATGTTTTATGGGGTCTCTCCATAGCTGTAATGATGTTTCTACAGTTCAGACTGTATATTGTGGGCTCCGAAACGTTCGAGGTTACAGAAGTAACCCTTCGTTCCCCGAGGAGGGGAACGGAAGTGCCATGAATGGGAGGATTCGGATCAGAAGCCGCTTATCTGGAGAGTATTGAACGGGCCAATGAATGAAATTAATTGGCAGCGTAAGCTTGCGCAGGTGTACGACATCTGCAATTATCTCAGCATATAAGCACACCTGAAGCCAGCAGACGCCATCCTTTTAAGCTGAAGAGACTTTCAAACAGCTAAGGGACAGTCATTATGGCGACGGAATATGGCACTTCCGTTCCCCTCCTCGGGGAACGAAGGGTTACTTCTGTAACCTCGAACGTTCCCCTTCGGTTGGGGAACTTCAGTGCCATGAATGGGAGAATATGGAAAGCGCCATAATGACTGCACCTTACCAACACCCCCGATGAGGAGATAGTCAAGCAAGCGTGACGCACCCACATCATGGGGGGCGCGGTCCTCCAACGTGTCCCTGGCCCTAATTTATCCTACTTCAACAGAAGTTTTACGGATTTAGATATATTTTTTGGGAAGTCGTGAGCATCTAGATAATTCTAGGAAATACGACAGTACGTTGGGAAGCGTGCAATCCCGATAGGGAGGACGCTGCGGAGGCCATCCGTTACCCAAGGGGGGGATAGATGGCAGAATTTACCTATGGACTAGCCCTAAAAAGGGGGAGTACGCATAGCAAAGAGTGGTTAGCGGAGAGGGAAGACACGGGTCCGCCCAGGGGGGGGACTTAACCATGGCGGAATAAGCATATGGGATCGCCTAGTGGGGATCACGCATAGCAGGCACCTATACCCAAAACGCGGGCTGACCAGCGGGCAGACCTACAACGTAGTGGGCCAGCAAGTGACTCCTCAGCTGAGTCAGTGCTGGGGGCCACGGAGGAATCTGCAGGGCTCACCTGACGGGGAACTTTACTGACAGATAAAAAAGGCGCACGTACCTCCGTGTTAGGGAGAATGGCGCAGCAAGCGTGTTTCAACACCCTACCGAGTTGTCTCCTCAATCACCAAAGGGTTACCTAATACCCTTGAGGAAACCGGCTCCACTCGCAGATTGTAAAACCTTGCAAATGTGTTGGGTGTCGCCCAGCCCGCAGCTCTACAGATGTCTGTTAGAGAGGCGCCACGTGCACGCGCCCAAGAGGATGCAACGCTCCGAGTGGAGTGTGCACGTACTCCCGGGGGACACGGCTGACCTCGACTCGAATAAGCGAGTGAAATGGCATCCACAATCCAGTGGGATAATCTTTGTTTCGATACGGCACTTCCCTGCTGCCGACCGCCATAACAGACAAAGAGCTGCTCAGATGATCTAAAATTCTGAGTACGGTCCACATAAATGCGCAGAGCGCGAACTGGACAAAGTAAAGAAAGGGCTGGGTCTGCCTCCTCCGGGGGCAGCGCTTGCAGGTTCACTACCTGATCTCTAAAGGGGGTGGTAGGAACCTTGGGCACATAACCGGGGCGGGGTCTCAGGATAACGTGAGAGTAATCCGGCCCGAATTCCAGGCACGAGTCACTGACCGAAAATGCCTCCAGGTCCCCGACCCTCTTGGAGGCCAACGCAACCAGCAGAGCTGTCTTCAGGGACAGAAATCTTAGAGATACTGATTCGAGTGGCTCAGAGGGATCGGATCGCAGACTCGTGAGAACGAGGGCGAGATCCCAAGAGGGCATGAGAGGGGGGCGAGATGGATTAATTCGCCTAGCACCCCTAAGGAACTGGATGACCAGGTTATGCTTTCCCACGGTGCCGCCAGCTACCGCGCTATGATAAGCGGAGATGGCGGCCACGTAAACCTTGAGAGTGGAGGGCGACAGCCTGCTGTCCAACTTCTCTTGAAGGAAAGAGAGCACAACACTAATCTGGCAATTTCGGGGGTCTTGTCTGCGAGAGACGCACCATTCAGTGAATAGACTCCACTTCAGGGCGTAGGCGCGCCTCGTGGAGGGGGCTCTAGCCTGAGTGATGGTATTAACCACCGCAGTCGGTAGGTTACCTAAGTCTTCCTCGCGTCTAGGGACCACACGTGGAGGTTCCAAAGATCGGGGCGAGGGTGCCAGATGGTGCCCTGTCCCTGAGAGAGTAGGTCCTCTCTCAAAGGGATCCGCCAGGGGAGGGCCGTCGCGAGGAGTGAGAGCTCTGATATCCAGGTCCGGTTGGGCCAAAGGGGCGCAACTAGCAGAACCTGTTCCTCGTCCTCCCTGACCTTGCACAGAAACTGCGCGAGCAGGCTCACTGGGGGAAACGCATACTTGCGCATGCCCCGAGGCCAGCTGTGGGCCAGTGCATCCGTGCCGAGAGAGCCCTCGGTCAGGGAAAAAAACAACTGGCAGTGAGCGTTCTCGGGGGAAGCAAACAGATCGATCTGGGCCTCCCCGAATCGCGCCCATATCAGCTGAACAGACTCGGGGTGGAGTCTCCATTCTCCAGGGCGTAACAGCTGTCGTGAGAGCGCATCGGCTGCACGATTGAGCGTGCCTGGGACGTGAATGGCGCGCAGCGATTTCAGCCGCGGGTGACTCCAGAGGAGCAGACGGCGGGCGAGCTGAGACAAGTGGCGAGAGCGCATACCCCCCATGCGGTTGATATACGCCGCCGCCGCCGTACTGTCCGTCCTGACCAGCACGTGTTGCCGCTCCAGCACCGGTAAAAAGCGGTGGAGAGCGAGGAACACTGCCAACAGCTCTAGGCGATTGATATGCCAATGCAGCTGGGCACCCTTCCAGAGGCCCGCAGCCGTATGCCCGCGACACACGGCCCCCCCAACCAGTGTTGGAAGCGTCTGTTGAAACAACAACATGGCTGGACGCCTGTCCTAGAGGCACACCGGCCTGTAGGAACGAGGGGTCGTTCCAAGGGCTGAGGGCGCGGCGACACAGCGCAGTAACCGAGACCCGGTGTGTGCCCGCGTGCCATGCGCGTCTGGGGACCCGATCGTGAAGCCAGTGCTGAAGTGGTCTCATATGGAGCAACCCGAGCGGCGTGACGGCGGCTGCGGATGCCATATGCCCCAGGAGCCTCTGAAAGAACTTCAGTGGGACCACTAGTTTGCTGTCGAGCTCCCTCAGACAGTTCAGCAACAGGCGAGCGCGTTCCTCGGAGAGGTGCGCTACCATGGTGATCGAGTCCAGCTCCATCCCGAGAAAAGAAATCCTCTGCACGGGGGCGAGTTTGCTCTTTTCTCGGTTGACCTGAAGCCCCAGTAGGCGGAGATGCCGAAGCACCTCGTCCCTGTGCATAATCAATTGCTCCCGCGAGTGGGCTAAAATCAGCCAGTCGTCGAGATAACTGAGTATGCGAATGCCCGCGAGCCGAAGGGGCGCTAGGGCACCCTCCGCGAGTTTGGTGAAGACCCGCGGAGACAGAGAGAGCCCGAAGGGGAGGACCTTGTACTGCCACGCTCGACCCTCGAACGCAAACCGCAGAAATTGGCGGTGGCGTGGAAGAATGGAGACATGGAAATACGCGTCCTTCAGGTCTATGGCTGCAAACCAATCCCGAGGACGAACGCATTGGAGAATGCGCCTCTGCGTGAGCATTCTGAACGGCAGCTTGTGCAGACAGCGGTTCAAAACGCGCAGATCTAGGATTGGCCGTGACCCACCGCTCTTTTTGGGTACGATGAAGTATGGGCTGTAAAACCCACTCTCCATCTCGGCTGGAGGAACCGGCTCGATTGCACCCTTCACCAGGAGGGCAGCAATCTCCTCTCGCAAGACAGGGGCGGACAGGGGGTTGACCCTGGAGAAATACACGCCCGTAAACTTGGGGGGCCGTTTCGCGAACTGAATCGCGTAACCGAGTCTGATTGTGCGTATGAGCCACCGCGAGGGGCTGGCCCGCGCTAACCAGGCAGGCAGAGCCCCTGCTAATGGAGTCATCGCTACAATCGCTGACGTACCAGCGGTGGGGCAGCGCGGAGTGGGTGTGCTGATCCGGGAAGCACGAGGGTCCCGCGGAAAAGCTGGAGGAGAGCGATTCGCTCTGGCTCCGCACCCTGACTCCGGAGAGGGGGCTGGAGGGCTGAGGGAAGGGAGACCGTCCCCCCAGCGCTCGTGAGCCACTGGCGAAGCACGTAGAGTCTGCGAGCCGGAAGGCAGCGCGTCCCGGACTGGCAGAACTCGTGCAGTCACATCCGGGGAAGGGAAAAAGTGCTCTTTTACTGATGTTTTGGTGGCACTGAAAAGTACCGTTGTTATCGGGGCCCCGCCCTCCAGCGGGGAAAGAGCAAGTTTCCTCTTCTCCGGATGGCCTGTCTCAGGGACGCTTCGCGGTCCGTTTACCGGCCTTAACGGCGCCCTGGACAGGAGGGGCTGCCCGCTTTCGAGGTGAACGCCGCGCCCGCTTGGCCGGAGGCGCAGGCGGGGGCGGGGCAGCACTCGTTGGCGGGCGCCCTCGGCGAGGAACAGCGGAGGTGGATGGCTCGGCGGGCGGAGCGGGCTTACGGCCACGCCGATAGATGACATTGCCAATCGCATCCGACTGCTCTTTCACCGCCTTGAATTCCTGGGTGAATTCACCGACGGTGTCGCCGAACAGGCCAGCCTGGGATATGGGCGAGTCAAGAAAGCGAACTTTGTCAACGTCGCGCATATCGGCCAGGTTTAGCCAGAGGTGGCGTTCCTGAACCACAAGTGTGGACATCGTCCTCCCCAGCGCACACGCGGCGGACTTAGTAGTCCGAAGAGCATAGTCGGTCGCGGTGCGCAGCTCATGTAATAAGCTTGGGTTGGACCCGCCCTCGTGCAGCTCGGCCAGCGCTTGGTAGCGCTGGTAGGTGGCCATCGCGTGCAAAGCAGAAGCAGCCTGGCCCGCAGCCTTATAAGCTCTGGCTCCGAGGGAGGCAGACAACCTACAGGCTTTGGACGGGAGGCGG